ATCTCCCTTTTTGTTTAAACTTGCTTACAGAGCAAATGAGGATGGTGAGGTCTTCCTTTCTGTTTGCAATTTCTCCTTGAAAGCCTTTGGACCAAATTTCAACCAAACCGTAAAGAAATGTTATGTCTTAGAGATAGTTGTATTGCTGCAGGTTTCATGAAAATCAGTGTGTCTGCTGATGGGAATGGTTTGATAGCAGCTCGCTGGCACTGGCCAGAGAGTACGTAACTCCAGGCTAACCACAGTGTTGCTTTCTCCTGTGTGGAGCATGGAGGAAGCTGGGATGATGGTGGGGCTAAGACGCAAGTTCCCTTGCTCGTGGGACTACTTATTTAATTTTGATTCAAATCCTTCTGAAGAATCAAAGCAGTGGTGGGTGTTCCTAGTTGTTCGGTAATATGAGACTCTTAATTAGTTGGCATTTGCTGGTGCTCTGCCCACAGGAAGGCAGCCTCCCCCAGGCAAGAGGGGAGAACTCTGGTTTATGCAGCATTCAGTCTGTTTCTGTAAACATCTCTCTGCTACACATCAGCTCTAGAATCTGTGAGGGCTGCCTGAGATTTCTACTTCAGGAGAAGTTTGAAAGGTGTTTAAAAGGTAGAATGTGAGATTGGCTAAAAAAGACCTATATATGTTATCTAGTTATAATCTTCAAAACAGATTCCTTTAGTTCTTTTTCCTATCCACTCTGAAAAAATACTATGTTAACACTTGCTTTCTTATTTAAAAAAAAAAAAAAGTTTTAAAAAACAATTGCAACATAGACTTCAAAAGCTTCTTTATTGATCTTTTTTTTTCTCATTTCTTTTTATTTGTTTTTATGAATGTATAGTCTCACACTCTGTCCTGTCAGTCTCCCTTTCCCAGCACTCCTACCACAAGGCGTGCCTTGCAAAGGACTCTGTCAGACGAGAGTATTTACAGTGGTCAAAGGGACCACTTCTTCACCTCACGGGCCTCGCTCTTGGACCAAGCCATGCCAAATGATGTCCTGTTCACCAGCACGTACCCTTCTCTCCCAAAGTCGCTGCCATTACGGAGACCATCGTATACTTTGGGAATGAAATCACTACATGGTAGGTGTATTTCCCATTTTTCTACTTTCAAAGGAATCCTTTGTGAATCATGTTAAGGGAAAATGTTTGTTATGGCAATTAGTGCTTCCATCTTGATTTTGCTAAAATGAGGAGAGTTAAGTCGCATGCCTGAAAATATAAAATAGGATGGGAATTTTCTTCTTTTCCCCTCACTTCACTGGGTATAAGACTGCATGACTGGTTATGCAGTCACCTTGTGGAGAGAGTACAAAAATTTGCCTCATCAGCTGTAAGTTTTCACCATTTCTTCCAGGACTCATCTGGACAAGTTGGACCAATGGGCAAATAACGTATGACTGGTTATCCACCAGTGACAACTTCAGTTTTCAGTTCCTTTAGTGTGGGATTATGGGAGCAAAATACTATTAGGAAAATAATGATATAAAAGTGGATAAATACCATTTATACATTTGGACGTACAGCTACACCAGATACAGCTTTTATTGCACCAACTGTTTTTAAATTCGCTGCCTTACCCTATTCATTTTACAGGACTTGAGTTACTTAATTTTAGTGACACATCAACAGCTAACAAGAAAAAGTTACTTGGTAAACTGCTGTCAAGAAGGCAGTCAGCTTTCCCCCATTAGTTTACTGAAAAGTCTCAGTAGGATTATCTGATAGGTTGTGTGTTGCTGCATGTGAATGTCTCGGTGAGAAAGGGAATTTTCACAGGTTCCCACTGTACCTCATAACTAAATGTGTACTAAATGTGTTTTCCAGAAATAGAGCTAGATCTCACAGTGTAGGATTCTGCAGTGTTTTCTGAAGTATGTCTGCTGTAATTTATTCACGTTTTAGTATGTTTCAAGAGGAAAACGCAAGGCTATCAATAGATTCAACTCACTATAGTGGGCACTAAGCACAGTCTGTATTTAGATGCTTAAGATGCATTTGACAGTGAAGGCTGCTGAAGAAATCTATTTTAAATTCTTTTCATCTGTCTGTGATCACCAGGCATCAGTTTTCAGTGTTGAACCTGACATTTTCATGAGCTGTTGTTTCTGTATAACATGTTTCTTGTGTAAGAGTTAGGAAACTGAGCTGTCTTCACTTCTGCTTTTTATATGCACAAAAATAACTTTGCAGACTTGGTTACACTTGTTTGTTACTTGGATTTGGATTCTGAGGGCTTGGGGTCAGAAGATTAATGATGCCATCTGAGTAGAAGTGGAAAGTGGCACTTGGTCTCTTTTTGCTTAGATGCCTGTATTTTCCGAAAAGAAAACCACAAAACCTTCTTTCACTGTCATGTTCTCTTCCACACCAAACCAACTGCTCCTCCTAGCACAAAAGCTTTCTACATTTATCAACAAAACCAGATTTTTCTATTTTCTATAAAATGTAGGCCAGCATGATAAAAGAACCAGCTATTTGAGTGACACACAAATTGTCTCCCCCCCCCAACTTGCCTTTGCTGATAGAAGGATTAAGTAGAGCTGGATATTTAATACCGCAAGTATTTGCTGGCTTCCAGCTATTCATAATTCTTTTAATTCAAAGATCTTAAGAACAAAAAACGGCCATTCCAGAGCACCTTCGTTTGTTTTGAAGAGGGAAAACAATGATCTAAAAATACTCTTATTTACTCATCTCTCTTAATTAACAACCCAACTCACACTTTTAAAACAGGTAATTTTTGAAACGGTTATTTTTTTCTTCTAATTCTGTGTATCTTTTCACTAATTGTAAATATTTTTCATGTTAAAAACTTCCCAAATAACTGCCCTCTTTTGCGGGATAATACAGAATACTCAATGTTAATACTGAGCTGAACTTATGTTTATAAAAGTAAACACAAAAAAAAGTAAACAAAAAAAAAAATTCAAGATTTTTGAGCAAAGAAGCGAATGCAATGTAGCTTTTCTGGGCAATGTTTCCCAGGCAGCAATATTATTTAGCTAATCTTATTAGAAAGATATTTTAGTTATCGAAGTTACATAGTTATTAGACTATCCAAAACAAAAAAAAAAGGGCAAAAATAAGCAACACAACTAGTGGCATTTGTTTTCCAGTGGGCTTGTGTCCTGCCCACCACGCTGTCTTTCTGTTCGCTCTGGTCCAAATGGATTCTCCACTATAACCTTCTGCTCTGCAGCTTCTTCCCAGGTGCCCAGTCCATCTTCTGGCCTCTACATCTCTGGTGCTTCTAATATCACCTACAAATTTTTCAAAACTTTATGTCCTGACAGAGGGCATGAGGAAGCAGGTTGTTGCTGCTTCTGAGCTTACGCATGTGCTGACTGACCAGGCATTGCACGTTTTTTGATTGTCCAGCCAGTAAACTGAAATAAAGTAGATAATTGTTGGTTCACAC